AACTAAAAGAAATAAGAATTAAAAGCATTCGATATGCCATAATCAGACAAAGCATTTTTACTGTGAATGATATCTCGAATCAGATCGAAAGTATTAAAGCATTTGATGCAGTTTATTTGATCAAAGAATTTACTCATATATGATACTGCCTAAGCCATAAATATCCTGCCTAAGACATCTTCCGATGCATCCATCCAGAGCATAAGAATTGTTAGGCAATTGATATATTGATATCAATACGATACTTATTTACAACCAATCGGATTCCGACTTCTTCCTTAAGTTAAAGTTTTCAAGTATCATATTATTAGAAAAAGACGGCTTAGGTCAAATCAACTCCACCACATCATCGAGGGAAAGATCAAAGTTGACACTAATATAATAAAAGAAAGTTTTTCTAAAAAATATTGGCAGTAGTATGGTATATAAAAATTAAAAAAAGGTGAAAAAGATAAAATCGAAAGAGAGAAAATTGGGATGTTATATTATATGATAAGTGCGCCGAATTGTCACACGAAAGCTACGTGATTCATATAGCACCCACCTCCGTCTTCATCTTTGCAGGACGCACGTAATGCTTAGACCGAGAGCCGAAACAAACCCAACCAACTCGGTGCTGCTACCTGTGCAAAGCCCGTTGGAGTCTTCACTCAGATAGCAGCAGCAGCTCGTGGCAATACAAGTTCACAAATGCCTCTCGCTCGCACGGCCTTGCATGGCATCATCTTCATGTGAGTAGAAGCTAACAGAGATACACCATACTTGCATCAGCTGTTTCCTTATACCCTCTTTCTTAATGCGTCATCACTGCATGCAGTGATATCCTTACCAGCTTCGCTTGTTCAGGCAGCGACCCGCATCCGGCCGTGGCCGCCGCTGTGATGGTGCACGTCGAAGGCCAACATGTAATCTATCCTTTTTCTTTCTTTAAATGGTATGCAGTAATACTAGTAGTAGTCTGATGAGCGATGTGTATTGACGGAAGTGGATTTGCAGGTTGTGATGGACAATGGCATCGTCCAACTCACGTTGTCGAAGCCCCGAGGTTCCATTACGGGAGTAAAACACCATGGAGTTGGTAATCTCCTGGAAGTTAAGAACAGAGAAGACGGTAGAGGGTATGCTAATATATACCTGCAATTAATCTGTTTTGATCCCTCAAACACATATCGATCTTATCACCCACTGGTGATGCAGGTATTGGGATGTTGTTTGGAATCGATCAGATCCAGATTCAGGCATTTTTGATATGTGAGTGTAGCTGCTCATCTCTCTCTTCCTCTTCTAACCTTTCGGCCTTTGCTTACCATTTCAACTAACTTACAGAGTACACGGAACAGAATTTGAAGTAGTGCATCGTGGGATCCCTCATGGTAGGGAATATTCTGCTACCACCCCAACAGCGGCAACCGACCTGGCACCTTGGAGTCAACTTGGCGCATGCACGTGGTATGACCTTGAAGTGATGCAGCGGGCTCGGCAGCGACGTGCGGTCATAACCGTGCCACCCGATATTGTGCAAGACTGTGCAGCACGCGGAACCATATGGGTCGACCCACGTCATCCGGAGCATACAGATCGGTCACTCGGAGCATCGACGGCTATTAACAACCTGCTTATAGCCAGCCCCCTGCGATAAGTATAAATGTCGACCCCTTGGCCGACGCTAGAAGATCGAACCTCGAACACTCAAAATATTATTGATAAAAAACTAACTTAAACTTCTGAGCGGTGGAGTTGAGAATCCTCCTCCTCCTGACATCGGCTAGTTGTATAGAGAGGCAACGCGAATAGGCAATCAAAGCCTCACCTTGGATCGACTCAGAAGATGTCAGCGTTTGACCTGATCTCATCCTCTCATCCTCTACTCAGACACCCACGTGGACGCCCTCGCACGATCATGATCGGACTAAATCGTATCAACTTCCAAGACATGACATAAAGGACTATAATATTTTTGGTGCTAAAAGGATGGCCCTATGTCACAATAGTATCCACTACTGAGTAACCCTAGCGAATGCCCTGACAAGGAGGCGCCTGACACCCTCTCCACCTTTGGCCTTAAGTGGTAGCTACCCACTCTCTCACATATGGACGGAAACGTCGCGGCTCAAACCCCGGGGCATTATTGGTGTTTGTTTAATGACCCCAGGCTCTTATATGCCGAGGTTGGTGCGGGTCAACTAGTCATCTCTACTGAGGCATTCCTCAACTCACCCACTAGGTGCAAGCTTTGACAGGGATGATGCAGACCATTGCACCCCTCATACCCCAACTAGCTTAGCAGACAACTCCTCCCCTATAGCCGTCATCGATGATCCAATATACGCTGATCCTTGTTAGGACCGAAATCGACACTAAGAGAGGCAGGAGGGGTGGGCTGAGCACGGAGGGTCCTGATTTAGGCGATATCATCGCTAGATCCTACTACAAGACACTGAATGGGCAAAAAAATAAGCTCAATTCAGTCCTGATTTAAGCCTAATTAGCCCCTAATTGAGTTGGCATTGTTTCACCCCATTACTGAATCAATTAGACCTAAACTAACTCGATCTAGACAAATTATTACAAAGCATTAATCACATGTCTGATATATCATTGGTTCATCCGGCGCTTCCTCCGATCCTTTGGCATCTTATCCTCTCCTTCGGCATACTGCCCAAATGACATGTTGTCTTCTCGCAACACCCGATCTCCTTGGCGCAATGTTCGATCTTCTTGACTCGATGCCCGAACTCATGGCACGAAGCATTCTATCGAAATGTCGACCGATCCTTTGGCTCAATGTCCAATCTTCTAGCATATTTCACTTCAGCTCAACATTAATTCTTCCTTCTTTAATCAAATTATCTCTCCATGATCGAAGCTAGTACTATGTCACTCAAAATGCATATTAAATCACAAACTCATCAATTGATTTTATCATCAAAATCTAAGATTCAATAATCCCTACACCTCACAATGTCACCCCGGTCGACCAGCCACCTCTGGCCCTAGATGCCCATCCCTCGACTAGGATTTTCAAAATTTTTTTTCTAAAATGCCTTTAAAACTAACTATTATTAAGTTGTTAGAAGGGATAAAGTTATATTTTTTATATTTTTAATTATAAAATTATCAAAGTACCCATGAAAATATTCGTTATATGATTTTTGGGAGGGGCAAATTGGTCATTTGCCCCTCCAATCGTTGGGTCGACTGTTTAAGCCCCAATGGTTGGTCAAGCCTGATGTTGACCAATCCATTTTTTTTTTTTAAAACCACATAACTAAAGGTTCAAACTGGAATGATCGATTCGATTTTCTAAACCTACGAACTCGAACTAAACCATATTGGACCCATTCTAGTTCGCTTTGGAACCAATGAATCATTGGATCATTTCGGTTCCGATTTGAATCGAACTAAGATATAATTATCAAAGCACTTGATGCACTCAAACTAAGCAAAGCATCTCCTCATGCATGATATGTCCCATAAAACATATGTATCAATAGACTCGATACACTATAATTAAGCAAAACATATTATATGTGATGCATCCTTTTAGGACGTAAGCATCAAAGCAACATATGTGCTATAGTCATGTAAAACATCTCTCTCGTGCATGATATATCTACATAGAATATAAGCATCAAAGCATCTGATGCTCTCCTATAAAGCAAATATCTTTGCATATGGTACATCCACCCAAGACAAGCATCAGGTCATGCAATGTATCTTGGAAAAGCATTTTCTATATCCTATGCATTCATCTTAGATGAAGGCATTGAGAGCATGCTATATCCATTTTTAATGTAGACAACAACTATTGAGTTTTTAGCATACACGTTGTGCTCCAACATAAACAAATCCCTACCCAAAATTAGAATAGGGAGAAAATGATCATGTATGAAAATTCTATTAGATTATGTGATCATATTTAATTAGATAAGATATATTATAGATTAGTTCGATTCTGATTATGATTTTTGATCAATAAAATATAACTAATCAATTGTGATGTAAAGTGCTTGCTACACTATAATGAACGCTACAAAAAGCCTTAGGTCCACAATGCCAATGTCAATCTAGAGCCACAACTACTTAAAGAGGATAATGATTAAGTTAGACGTCAACATGAACCTGAGGCACACTTGACCAATGAGATGAGTCCTATCTTACATAAACCTTTACAAAAGATAAACAAGTATATTGATGATATGAGACACAAGATCTGACTCGAGAAAGAACTCAATAAAGTCAATCTCTATAACCAGTTTTCTTTCACCCAGTTGATACAAAAGAAATATATTTCCTCCAACTCTCATCTTCACATTCTAAAAACTTTTGACAACAACACCAATCATGTAGAGCATGCGGCATTTAGGGCTTAAATGACTTTATACACTATTTATGATGCCCACATATGTTGGGCTTTTCTCACCACCTTATAAGAAAATGATAGGGAGTGACCTATATTCCTCGGGCTATGATAGTCCTACTAGCCATCTATCAAGGCAAGAACCAAGTCCCAAGCTAACTATGTCAAAATGTTCAACAACTAGGCTTGTAAAGTGGTCGACCCTCATCCTTTTATACTCTTTCATACCTTCATCAATGATATAACCTCAAAATGTTTCACCCAGTCTCATTCGACTAAAAATGTTTAATCCACTCTCGGCAAGTAAAAAATCTTCGATCTTGTCGGCTTAAAAATGCGTGGCCTAATTGTTGGATCAAAGATTCTTAACCCACTCTTATAAGATGAAAAATATTAGACTTCTCTTGTCGTCCTCCTCGATCAAATCAATCAAACACCTAGGTTGTGTGAAGAAATTAGTGCACCCTAACAAGCATAGAATCACCGTACTCATGATACGTTCCCTATAACATAAACATCAAAACAATTAATGCATCATAATCCAACAAAATATATCATATAAATACCAAAACAATTAATGCATCATAATCTAGCAAAATACATCTTCGTGCATGACGTATTCAGTAAGTATCAAATGTAGTCAAAGCATCTCTCTATGGCTGATGCATCTCCCAGCACAGAAGCATCAAAATGCCAAATGTGCCCTCACCATACAAATCATCATCTCGTACATGATGCATCTGCTTAAGAAATAAACACCAAACATCAAATGTACATTAATCAAGCAAAAATATCTCTTGCAGGCACCATATATCCAGCCTTGAGATAAGCATGAATACATTCCATGTATCCTAAAGAGGAAAATAATCTTCTCCTTCGTGATGCATTCACATTAGCTATAAGCATCAAAATGCCTAAAATATCTTAATTAGACAAACATCTTATGGGGTACAATGCGTCTACTCACAATATAAACATTAAGATATGTAGTGTGCCCTAATCCAACAAGACATTCTATAAACCAGGGGAGTTCATCCATTTTTTTTAGTTTAAGTAATAATTTTTAGATAGATAAATCCTTATTCTAAAATAATAATCGGGTTCAAAATTCTTTCTTAATGTCTAATATTAAAAAAAAATAAGTTAGGACATATTAACTATAGTCGATTATAAATTATCATTAATTTAATAAAAAAAAAGTTGAATAAAATATTCGCATCAGTTTAGTAAACAAAGATAAAAATATTGAGAGAGGAAAATAAGAAAGAGATAAAATATTGGGATGCTACGTGGTTCATCACGCATCTCATCAAATTGAGTGTAGCTGTTCATCGTTATAACATTGATCGACCGTTGCGGCATATCATAAGTGCATCTCCTTCTTCATCTTTTCAAGTCGCTCATAATACTTCAACCAAAACCCAAACCATCGGTGCTGCGACCTATCCGAAGCTCGAGGGGGCTCTTCACTCACATAACGGCAACTCGTGGCCATATCGGCTCCTAAATGGCTCTCGCTCGCATGGTCTTGCATGGCATCATCTTCGTGTAAGTAGAAGCTAGCAGAGATACACCACACTTGCATCAACTGTTTCTTATACCCTCTCTCTGAATCCGTCACCTCTGAATGCAGTGTTATAAATTGTTCAAATTAAAAAAAAAGATTTTTTTTCAAAAAATTTATTTGAAAAATTGTTTCTTTGTAGTTATTTTGATAGTTATTTTTCAAAGGTTGTCTTCTATGAAAATATCTATAAATAGGTATTTGAGAGTAAATCATGAATAATATCTCTTTTAGATTCTTTTTTTTCTTTGATAACTCTGTAAGTGATTGAATTAGATATTTTCTAATTCCTTTTTGAAGGTTCTTTATTGTTTACTCAATATAGATCTTCTAAAGGTTTTTCATATCTACTAAAATTATTTGCATCAAACCCATAGCAATCATGTTGAGAAGAAAGTGCAAATATTATTTTTAGAAAAATATTTATACAAATTTCAAGCCTAAATATATTTCTAATAGTGTTCTTAATCTTGTGTTTGTTATTTGTTTCTAAAGTGTTTTCATCCTTTTCTTTGTTGTATTTTCCAACATGCAATGCAATCCTTACTAGCTTCGCTTGCTCAAACAACCTGCGCCCGATCGCCGGCGCTGACAGTGTGACGATGCACGTCGAACTCGAATATGTAAGCTATACTTTTTATTTCATCTATGGTTCGGAGTAGTTTGAGCGATGTGTCTGACAGAAATGGATTTGCAGGTTGTTTTGGACAATGGCATCATCCGACTCACGTTGTCGAAGCCCGGAGGTTCCATTACGGGAGTCAAATACCATGGACTTGATAATGTAATGGAAGTTAAGGAAGAAGACGGTGGAGGGTAAGCTAATATATAGCTGCAATTAATCTTTTTTGATCACTCAAATGCATATCGATCTTATCATCCATTGGTGATGCAGGTATTGGGATGTTGTTTGGCATCCATCAGATCGACATTCTGGCATATTTGATATGTGACTTTTAGCTGCTCATCTCTCTCTTCCTCCCCTAACCTTTTAGCTTCTGCTTACCATTTCAACTGGGTTACAGAATACTCGGAACAGAATTTGACGTAGTGCAGCAAGATGCAAACCAGGTTGAGGTCTCTTTCAGAACACAATGGAATCCCTCCCACGGAGGCAAGCTTGTGCCTTTAAACGTCGACAAAAGGTTGCACCGCAGATTCTGTGCTTGTCGAGAAGCAAACACTAGTAGGGTAGCTAATTGAGATTGAGCTTATAATTCTGTAGGTTTGTGATGCTGCGAGGCAGCTCAGGCTTCTACACCTACGCCATATATGAACACCTTCAAGGCTGGCCCGACTTCAATCTAGCAGAGACCAGGGTGGCTTTCAAGCTTAGAAAGGATAGGTACATGATCTCCACCTTCCCTCGTGCAATTTTCTACCTTGACCATGTAACGTTGCTATGTGGATCCTAGGCTGGTTCTTCATCGACACTTGTGTGAAACAGGTTTCACTACATGGCCATTGCAGACAACAGACAAAGAATCATGCCCATGCCAGAAGATCGCCAGCCCGGAAGGTCACAGAAGTTGGATTACTCAGAAGCAGTCAGACTGACAAACCCAATTAATGCAGCCTTGAGAGGGGAGGTAAGAAAGGAGTCTCCTTTTGAATTCTCTTATCATGCAGTTAATAGCAATGATCATGCACGCAGCATCTGAATCTACCGAATGATTGCATAGGTGGATGATAAATACCAGTATTCCATTGAGAACAAGGACAGTATGGTGCATGGATGGATTTCTTCTGATCCTTCCGTAGGGTTTTGGGTGATCACCCCAAGTATTGAGTTTAAGTCAGGAGGGCCTGTGAAGCAGGATCTGACATCTCATGTTGGTCCTACCGCCCTCGCTGTGAGTACCATGCTTGTGCCTCCGATATCTTTCACCTTGCAGACTTATTTGCATCAAAATGTTTGAGAAAGATGCACTGACATTGGTTCACTTGTTTGGTACAAATTCTTTGTCCCCAAATTTCAGACCTTTGTGAGTTCTCATTACGCCGGGGACGACATTTTGCCTAGAGTCAGAAATGGAGAATACTGGAAGAAGGTGTTTGGCCCTGTGTTCATTTACCTTAATTCTGCATCGACGAAATCGGATCCGAAGCTTCTCTGGGAGGACGCCAAGAAGCAGGTAGGCCGTCTTGCCTCTTTTCCCATCGAAAACTATAATTACTGTATGTGATAGTGATTTCCTTGGAGCATAAAGTGTTCTCTAACATTCTTGCCCAACAAACTATATGAGGCATTTCTAGAATAATCAAATCTTAATGTACACGATTTCTTCCTTCACACAGAGTTCTTTCCATATTTGAATTCCTTGTCACTCAAAGAATGGATACGAAGCACAAGAATCTACATTGAGCTTTCTTCTTGATTCAGGCGCGGGTTGAAGAGGGAAGCTGGCCGTACAAGTTTCCTGCTTCAAAGGACTTCCAAAAGAGGGAGCAAAGAGGCTCTGTTTCCGGCAGACTATTTGTTGTAGACGAGTATGTAGCATTTGTCTAATTTCTTAGGCATATCCTGTGTCTCGTGATGTAGAACGATATCTGTTCTGATGAGGATACATTATTCTGTCAGGCCCGCCAATAAGCATTACGTAAATGGGAATGCTGCTTTTGTTGGTTTGGCTTCACCAGGAGAAGCAGGATCTTGGCAGAGAGAAAGCAAGGTTCCTACCTACTGATCCTGTTCAAGAAAGTTCTTATCATAATTCGAGCTAAACATAATCACCATGATGTGTTGCAGGGATACCAGTTCTGGGTAAGAGCAGATGCCAAGGGAATGTTCTTCATCAAGAACGTCAGAACTGGAGTGTACAACCTTTATGCATGGGTTCCTGGTTTTATTGGGGACTACAAATCTAGCGTAAACATAACCGTAACCTCCGGTTAGTATGACATGTTTGTTGTGCTATTCTTCTTTTTCTACTCTGTCAATTTCATGAATCTGATGATTTTAATCTGAGCAGGAAATCACATCAATCTGGGTAACCTTGAATATAGGCCACCAAGAGATGGGCCGACCTTGTGGGAGATTGGCATTCCTGATCGATCCGCTGCGGAGTTCTTCGTCCCAGATCCTTATCCTTGCTACATCAACAGACTCTATGTGAATCATCCTGATAGGTAGAACGGATCTGAGGGTTCTCGATTTCAGTGCAGCACTTCATTCACCTAAATCCCCTGGCTGTTCTTCTTCTTCATCACAGGTTTCGGCAGTACGGGTTGTGGGAGAGATACACAGATCTGTATCCTGATCATGATCTGATGTATACAGTTGGCATCAGCAACTACAAGAAAGACTGGTTCTACGCACACGTTACCAGGTTCGTTTACTTCCTCTGATCTCTGTTCTCCGAAGACATGTTGAGCTCACTTGCTTGACTTCTTCTACCTCCACTCTACTGCAGGAAGCATGGGCAGGCTTCCTATCAGGCAACTACATGGCAGATAAAGTTTCGACTCAATAATGTGCGCCGGAGTGGAACTTACAAGCTTCGACTGGCACTTGCATCTGCCGTATTTTCTGAGATACAAGTATGTCTAAATCCTCGCTTCCTCCACCTCTTCCTCCTTGCTCTTGGTGATGACATGAGTGTTCATGTTGGATTTGAAGGTTCGATTCAACAACCCAATAGTGCAGCAACCTGCTCACTTCACGACAGAGCTAATTGGGAGAGACAACTCGATCGCCCGACACGGAATCCATGGGTTGTACTGGTTGTTCAGCATCGATGTGGATAGCAGTTGGCTTCTTAAAGGCGACAACATCATCTTCTTAACTCAGACGCGTTCTGAAAGCCCTTTTCAAGGAGTCATGTACGACTACATTCGATTGGAAGCTCCGGCATGACACAGTCTCAAGTACAGTTCATGCTGCTGAATGAAGATTATGTCATGTTCATTGAGATATTATTTCTGTCAAACCAAATAATTGGATCGATATCATATTGAGTACCATGAATATTTCGAGACGTAAATTGAGAAAGATATGTTCTGATCTGTTATTTTGGTGTGTACCCATTTAATTCTGTATCACAATTAAGTATTGGAGGATGTCCAAGCTAATTATTATTGGAGGCCTCTCAAGTGATGGCCGCCACCCTCTACAGTACTGACGCCGACAACAATCATATCAACGACAGCCCCGTGACAAATCAGGCAGCACACTTCCGTCAATGGTTCTTCCCGCGTTATATCGCTCGCAGACAGTCGAAGTGCACGGAGGGATAGATTCACATATCGAACATAAAATATCATAGATTAATTTAAAAATAATATTAATTTAAGATTAAAATAATAATTTAAAAGATGAATATATCTAATACCTAAAAAGATCTAATTTTTTTTTATAATCTAAGTTATTTTGATTTTGATTGTTTGATATCAATTATAAGAAAAAAAATATAATAATCCTGTTATGCAGAATAAATTTAATAAAGAACTAAAACTAAATAACTATAAATAAAAAATTAGATATATATACCTTTTGATATCATTCGGAATACTGATTTGATAATACATTCCGTAGTTCGATCTAAGAAGCAACAGTACATGTCTGTAAAATAAACTAGACTCATGATTAGGAGAACACCTCTAATCAAAACTATCTTCTAAGAAATTTTATCATAAATTTTCTCTCTAAATTCGATAATATAATTTATCCAATGTATATAATCTATCACTTTAAAAATCACAAATGCCTCTCGTTGGCATCGCCTTGTATGGTATGATCCTCATGAGTAGAAGCTAACAGAGATATATCATGCTTGCATCAACTGTTACCTTATATCCTCTCGTTTAGTTCGTCATCATTGCATGCAATGCAATCCTCACCAACTTTGCTTGCTCAGGCAGCGACCTGCATTCGACCGTGGCCACTGTTGTGACGGTGCACATCGAAGGTCAACACGTAATCCTTTTGTGATGAATAATGGCATCGTCCAACTCACATTGTCGAGACCTAACGGTTTTATTACATGAGTCAAATAGGTAGAGTTGATGGTTTACTTACTCTTTTCTATTCGATCATTCTCATTATGCTCAAATATTAAGTCGATTCTGATATCAATTGTCACAAGAGCCCTGATAAGATAACTAGATTATCTTGATAATCAAATTATATAAGTCATTTTTAACTATATTAGGAAGGTTTAATAGTGTTGTGGTACATAGAAGAAAATATGATGTTGATGAGATATAACTACTATTACTTGCATTAGTATTCAGATTTAATATAATTGTTATATTTATTTAAATTATTATCTTATTTTATAAAAGTTGCATGCACGTGTAACATATTATTCTTAAAGTTTCATAATATAATTAAATAAAATTATTTTTAAATTTATTTATTTTAATTTTTTATGTCTTATTAATTAATGGGCCAAGTGGGACAATATAAGATTCTGTGACCTATCTAATTAAGTAAAATATATTATAGATATAATTAGATTCTTATTACAATTATCAATCGAAATAAAGAAAATCTAATTAAGGTAAGATTCCATATAAAATGATCTTGATAGGAGGGAATCTCCTAATTACTTATTCTAAATCATCTGTTCTTGCCTATAAATAGACAAGATCTCCTACGAACTAAATATGCAACACAATATGTTGATACATGGATATGTAGATAAGATGAGATGGGATACATGACATTATTGAGAGATTATATATCTTCTTTTATCTCCCTTTAGTTATATGAACCAATGAGATATTACAAATCTTTTCTTATCTCTCCTTATTCCTTAAATCATCGTTCTTGCTCATAGTGGTCCTGTAAAAGATAAGAAAGAGAAGAAGTCGAGTCTAATTTTTTTGTAGATCAATATTGCTATAGCTTTTGGATATACAATAATGTACTTGCAGATCAAATAAAAGCTTTCTAAATAGCTTAGAAAATTTACACATCCTAAATTTGATCTATTTTTATTTAATTTTATAATTTTAATATTAATTTTTTTTGTATAATAGAAGCATAAGAATAGTTTTTATGCTTATAGCGTTTCCTATCATACACACACATGCACATGCACACCCACACTCACACACACACACACGCATGCATATATATATATATATATATATATATATATATATATATATATATATATATATTAAAGCATCCAATATACCTTAGTCAAACAAATTATCTCACCATATATGATGTGTTTTCAATTGCATAAATATCAAAGCATCTAGTGCATCCTAATTGATTAAGGAAGCATCTCACTATATACGATACAATCATCTAGGATATAGTCATCAAAGTACTGATGAACTCAAATTAAACAAAGCAACTTCTCGTGTGTGATATATCCCATAAAACATAAGTATCAATAGACTTGATGTACTATAATCAAGCAAAACATATTATATGTGATTCATCCTAACAGGACATAAGCATCAAAGCAACGTATATGCTAGTCATATGAAACGTCTCTTGGGTGTATGATACATTTATATATGATATAAGCCTCAAAGCATCTGATGCTCTCCAACCAAGCAAACATTTTCTTGCACATGGTACATCCACCCAGCATAAGCATTAGGTCATACAATGCACTTTAACTTGGAAAAGAATCTCCTATATCCTATGCATTCGTCTTAGATGAATGCTCTATCCATTTTTAATGTAGACGGACAACTGTTGAGTTTCTAGCATATGCATTGTGCTCTAACATAGATAAATCCCTATCCCAGTTGCAATAGAGAGAAAATGATACATAATTATCTATAATTAACTAGTATTCAACCTGCTGATTTGTTAGATTATATGATTATATTTAATTGGATAAGATATTTTATAGATTGATTGAATTCTGATTATAGTTATCGATCAATAAAAAATAACACATCAATGTAAAGTTCTTGTCCATAGTAAACACTATAAGGAGCTATAGATCCACAATGTCAATAATAATATAGAGTGATAATTACTTCCTAAAAAGGACAATGGTCTAGTGTGACATAAACATGAACATGAGATACACTTGCCCCATAAGATGAGTCCTATCTTATACAAACTTTTACAGGAGATGGATAAGTATCTTGATGATGTGACACAAGATTCGACTTAAATCTCTAGAACTAGTTTTCTTTCACCCAACTAATACAGAAGAAATATATTTCCCTCAACTCTCATCATCGCATTCTAAAAACTTTTGACGGAAGCACTAATCACATAGATCATGTGACATTTAGGGATTAAATGACTTTATACACTATACATTACTTATGATGCGCACATATGTTGGGCTTTTCCCACCACCTTATAACAAAATGATAGGGAGTGTTACTCCCACACTCCCACATATGTTTGAGCTCCATTTTATTAAGAATATATTTTCAAATTGTGCTACAATAGCCTTACTAGCCATCAATCAAGGCATGAACAAGTATCAAGCTAACTATGCCAAAATGTTTGTAGAGTGGCTGACCCTTATCCTTTCCTACTCTTGCATGCCTTCATCAATGACATAAACTAAACATGTTTCTTCCATTCTCATTCGGCCAAAAATGTTTAATCCACTCTCGGCAAGCAAAAAATGTCTAATCTTGTCGGCCTAAAAATACTTGGCCTACTTATAGGATCAAGGATTCTTAACCCACTCTTGAAAGATGAAAAATATTAGGCCACTCTTGTCGAACAAAATATAATCATATATCTGACCTTGAGATAAGCAGGAAAGCATTCAAAAATAATCTCTGCCTACATGTTGCATTCACATTAGCAATAATTGTTTAGCAATAATTGTTTATTTATTTAAGCAATAATTTTTGAATTTATGAAAGGGATATTACCCTCCGTTATAGAAAAATCCTTATTCCAAAATAATAATCGGGTTTAAATTTCTTTCTTAATGTCAAGTACGATAATATTAAAAAAAATAAATTAGGATATATTAACTATAGTTGATTATAAATTAGAATTAATTTAATAAAAAAATTTGATAAAATATTTGCAGCAGTTTAGTAAACAATGATAAAAATAACAAGAGAGGAAATTAAGAAAGAGAAAAAAATTGGGATGCTAATTGGTTCATTCCGCATCTCAAAAAATTGAGTGTAGCTGTTCATCGTTACAACATTGATCGCCCGTTCATCTCAAAAAATTGAGTGTTGCGGCATACCACTGCGTGCTTCATCACGCATCTCCTTCTTCATCTTTTCAAGCCGCCCATAATACTTCAACCAAAACCCAAACCAACGGTGCTGCTACCTATCCCAAGCTCGAGGGGGATCTTCACTCACATAGCAGCAACTCGTGGCCATCTAAGCTCCTAAATGGCTCTCGCTCGCACGGCCTTGCATAGCATCATCTTCGTGTAAGTAGAAGCTAGCAGAGATACACCACACTTGCATCAACTGTTTCTTATACCCTCTCTCTGAATCCGTCATCACTGCATGCAGTGCAATCCTTACCAGCTTCGCTAGCTCAGACGACCTGCGTCCGGCCGCCGGTGTGACGGTGCACGTCGAACTCGAATATGTAACCTATCCTTTTTGTTTGGTCAGTGGTTCGGAGTAGTTTGAGCGATGTGTCCGACAGAAATGGATTTGCAGGTTGTGTTGGACAATGGCATCGTCCAACTCACGTTGTCGAAGCCCGGTGGTTCCATTACGGGAGTCAAATACCATGGACTTGATAATGTAATGGAAGTTAAGAACTGGGAAGACGGTAGAGGGTATGCTAATATATAGCTGAAATTAATCTTTTTTTATCCCTCAAATGCAAATCGATCTTATCATCCACTGGTGATGCAGGTATTGGGATCTTGTTTGGAATCCATCAGATCGAGATCCAGGCATATTTCAGATGTGAGTGTAGCTGCTCATCTCTCTCTTCCTCCCCTAACCTTTTAGCTTCTGCTTACCATTTCAATTGGGTTACAGAATACTCGGAACAGAATTTAAGGTAGTGCAGCAAGATGCAAACCAGGTTGAGGTCTCTTTCAGAACACAATGGGATCCCTCCCACGGAGGCAAGCTTGTGCCTTTAAACATCGACAAAAGGTTGCACCGCAGATTCTGTGCTTGTCAAGAAGCAAACACTAGAAGGGTAGCTAATTGAGATTGAGCTTATAATTCTGTAGGTTTGTGATGTTGCGAGGCAGCTCAGGCTTCTACACCTACGCCATATATGAACACCTTCAAGGCTGGCCCGACTTCAATCTAGGAGAGACCAGGGTGGCTTTCAAGCTTAGGAAGGATATGTACATGATCCTCACCTTTCCTCGTGCAATTTTCTACTTTGACCATGTAATGTTCGCTATGTAGATCCTAAGCTTGTTCTTCATCAACACTTCTTCTGTGAAACAGGTTTCACTACATGGCCATTGCAGACAACAGACAGAGAATCATGCCCATGCCAGAAGATCGCGAGGCCGGAAGGTCACGGAGGTTGGGTTACGCAGAAGCAGTCAGACTCACTAACCCAATTAATGCAGACTTGAGAGGGGAGGTAAAAAAGGAGTCTCCTTTCGAATTATCTTATCATGCAGTTAATAGCAATGATCAAGCACGCAGCATCTGAATCTACCGAATGATTGCATAGGTGGATGATAAATACCAGTATTCCTGTGATAACAAGGACAGTATGGTGCATGGATGGATTTCTTCTGATCCTTCCGTAGGGTTTTGGGTGATCACCCCAAGTAATGAGTTTAAGTCAGGAGGGCCTGTGAAGCAGGATCTGACATCTCATGCTGGTCCTACCTCCCTCGCTGTGAGTACCATGCTTGTGCCTCCGATATCTTTCACCTTGCAGACTTATTTGCATCAAAATGTTAGAGAAAAGATGCACTGATTTTGGTTCACTTGTTTGGTACAAATTCTTTGTCCCCAAATTTCAGATCTTTGTGAGTTCTCATTACACCGGGGACGACATTGTGCCTAGAGTCAGAAACGGAGAATACTGGAAGAAGGTGTTTGGCCCTGTGTTCATTTACCTTAATTCTGCATCGACGAAATCGGATCCCAAGCTTCTCTGGGAGGACGCCAAGAAGCAGGTAGGCCGTCTTGCTTCTTTTCCCATCGAAAACTATTATTACTGTATATGATAGTGATTTCCTTGGAGCATAAAGTGTTCTCTAACATTCTTCTCCCACTCAAAGACTGGATACGGAGCACAAGAATCTACGCTGAGCTTTCTTGTTCTTGATTTAGGCGCGGGTTGAAGAGGGAAGCTGGCCGTACAAATTTCCTGCTTCAAAGGACTTCCAAAAGAGCGAGCAAAGAGGCTCTGTTTCCGGTAGACTACTCGTTGTAGACGAGTACGTAACACTTGTCTGATTTCTCAGTCATATTCTGTGTCTCATGATGTAGAACGATATCTGTTCTGATGAGGATACATTACTCTGTCAGGCCCGCCAATAACGATTCCGTAAATGGGAATGCTGCTTTTGTTGGTTTGGCTTCACCAGGAGAAGCAGGATCTTGGCAGAGAGATAGCAAGGTTCCTACCTATTGATCATGTTCAAGCAAGTTCTTGTCATAATTCGAGCTAAACATACTCACCATGATGTGTTGCAGGGATACCAATTCTGGGAAAGAGCAGACGTTGAAGGCAACTTCTA